TTTATTTTTTTTCCTTTTTTTTAATATTGTAATATTTTTTTCCCCACTTCCCCCCCCCCCCCCCCCCAACCACAACAGTGTCTGAGTGACATTAAACGGCTCCACTGTTTTAGACTATTGAGAATACCTGACCTAGATGTTCCAAAAAAAAACAACAAAAAAACCCCACCAAATATGTACACAGCTGTTGGCACCAGAGGTCGCACTGTTCGCTAGTCTTTGTGACATATGCAAGCGCGCTCGCTTATTCCATTTCGGTTTGGACAGGACATAATCATATTTTCTTCAGTTCATTTAAGCTTTGTAACGTCCTGTTGCTTTCTTGACTCACCAGAAGGCCGTGGAGCTGGAGCACCTCCTGGACCAGTTAGGGGATGACGTCATCAAAGACGACCTCGGCTTTCAGTCATCGCTGCTGCACAAGAAAGTTCTAGAGCTCAGGGGGAAAGACGGTTCTCCGGGGAAACTCTCGGTCAAATGTAGGTCACTCGTAGACAATGTCAACATTTAAATATTAATAGGTCAGCTGCAGGTCAAATGCAACGTGACTCTCGGGGCAACAGAGCCATTTAAAATATTGACATGCCACTGTCTGCTTACTTAGTGATAGTCTCCTTAAAATATGAGGCATCCTTGACATGATGTTCTTTCAAATCTGAAAAAGGGGGGGGGGGCGGAAATGAAATTTGAATGAAAACCTTGGGCTCAGGGGGCCTTTCTACAAATAATTAATTTAACTATTTTCTAGAATATCTCACTATGACATGGGTGGGAAAACTACGGTCCGCGGGCCGGATGTGGCCCCGAGACTGATAATATGCAGCATTTAGAAATAGATAAAATTAATTAATTTTTTTTTGAATTGTACAGAATGTTATGTACCTTTAAGATGGATTTAACATTTTTGATCAAATTTCTTTCTAACTTTCTATTTTTTAAACAGTCCATAACTTTAGTCATGTAATGCTAAAATTCTAATGTACCGATTTTAATATAGAGAAATGTTTATCGACGTGTAAAAATTGGACATAATATACATGCGACCCCCTCCCAAGAGCTTTACATTTGTCAATGTGGCCCTCCGCACAAAAGGTTTGCCCACCCCTGCGCTATGAGTTTCTCACTCATTTCGAGTTCAAACAAAGATCTTACCAAGAAAATAGGATGGAGATCCTGGTCTTCTTTTGTATATTTTTAAATTACGTTTTTTTTTTTGGACACTATTCATCCATCTGTACTCCCCATCCTAGCACACCAAATAACCCACTAACCCACTACCCAACTAAACCAAGAACCCACTAGCCCATTAACCCACTAACCGACTAGCCCGCTAGCGTCCTCATAGCTGATGACTTCGTGTAAGTGCCTATGACCATATTGCCTGCGTTCTACCTCCACATGCAGCTTGCAGTACCCTGGAGGTCGAGTGCTCTTCCAACTACTCGGAGAACAGCGCCACCACCTCCTTGTACGTCACCGACGACTCGCCTCCAACGACCAGTTTGCTCAAGAACAGGTTCCAGAACAGCAAACTCTACTCGGAAGGGATAGAGATGGCCGGGGTCAGGTGAGTGGAGTTCAGTTTCATAAGTGAATTTTTTTTTTTTATATTGGTTTCTTGGATTCTGCTTACCAAAAATCATGACGTAATAGCCCAGATCACTGTTTCAAAGTTATGTCTAACATCTTGTGTGTGTGTGTGTGACCTCAACAGATCCTGTGCCAGGAAGGGGTCAGTCACGATCCCGCCTCCAGCCGAGGACGAGAAGGATGACGATCCCTTCGGTGGGGTCTACTTAGGACCCAGTGAATCTTCCGATGATGATAGTGAGCAAAAGTAGGTCAACCAGTATTGTTTAAACAACATTTTTCACGGCTTTTAGCTTAATGGGATACACATGTGTCAAATACGTGTCACATGAGCAGCTCAGTGTCCCATAATCTTTAACCTAATTGCCCCACTCATTTATCCTTAATTAACTAATTATAAATTAACTCATTTATCCTTGGACCTTTCTTATTATCCAATTTTCACTACTGGAAAATTTGCTTTCATGAACAATTCTTTTTAAAATAAAATTAAGCAGTTATTTTTTAAAATAAGAATGCATAATATGATTACAAATTAAATCATTAACCACAATCCCCTAACATGTTATTGTCACGTGACAGAGAGAGCAAAAAAGTTGCCCTCGGTGAAAGGCAGCCGCTGATGGCTGGCACCAACATCCGCATTTTGCCATATAAAACAGGAAACGCTGCATCTTCAGAAAGTGTGTTCGACGTCACTGCGGGAGCGCA